CTTGAATCATTCCAGAGGCTGACTGTAGGTCAATTTGGTGGTGTGAGACTCGTAGAATTGACGTTCGAAGAAGACCTAGATACGATGCCGCAGGCCGCTACGTTCGCGTCGGTACAGCCCGCTAGAGGTGGGCTTCGGCCGCAGGATCTGCCGAGCTAACCACATGCGCCCTCCATGGGTGAGCCGTGCATGCGTCTGACAAGCGCTGTGGCGCCATGGTCGCTGTTTTCTCGCAAAGGGCGTGCCGTCACGCGCGAGTGATGGGACGGTCCGTCGATGTGTAGAGACCATGTTTCCGCAGCGGGCCGACACTGTTCAGAGATTAGGAAAGAAATCAGCTGTAGGAGATGCGCATCCAACCCACCATCTCACAACTCTTCATAGATGTTATAATATGCAGAGAATTACCATACGACCCATCCGCTGCTAGAGCAAGGTTCGCAGTGTAGGTATTCGAAGTAGCCGATAAGCCACCGCTGAAAGCGCGCGAAATCCTGAATCACTGCTCCAGACCCGTCCCCTGCGTCGTCCAATGGATGCAGGGCCCACTCACTCATACAGTATCTTTCTGGATGCAACGCAGCATCATGTACCCTGTTTCCCTTAACGCTGGTCTTCTTCACACGTGCGAATCGAGCGCCAGGTCCAGGCACAATGCATGATAGCCATGAGGTGCGTATGCTTGAAGACGCATGCGCGCTGTGGTACCTTGCCTTGAGGGTTTTGACGGAACATCTGCCACCTATCGGTGAGTTATGCGAGTAAGCAATGGAAGGATGACAGTGGGGTGTTCTCGCCACGAATGCAGGGTGGCAAGAAGGCTGTGAACTCCGACGAAAACGAACACCATGACTACAACACTCGGTCGTTGTCATATGATCAACGCTCGTGTGACCTCGGCTGCAAGGTTGAAGATCATACCAGACATGCCTTGGTTCTGATAAGACCAGGGTGGCGGAGGCAGTATGATCTTCACGTGGGAACAGTGGGCAGTAGCGTTGTCATAGTAGGCTTGCTATAAGGCACAAGTTTGCTTTGGCTCACTGAGGCGGTAGTGAGCGAAGGTGTAAGAACCAATACTATGCAAGGGACGACTTTAGCCGTTTGAGCCGCTCAAACGGCAGGAGTAGGCGACTACACGTCGGAGCGCGGCGGATTGGCTATCTTGCTTGGAGCAGTGCATATGCAGGAACCCCGAGGAAACTGCAGCAGCATGCCTTTTGACGAATGCGGAATTTTCGAACAGAGTTCCGATGTACCGTCTCTGCATCGCATAGCCGTATTATCAATGGAGACGTTGGTCAGACGTGGGATAGGCGGACTTTAGTATGGAAACCTTGTTCGTAGGCTTCGGGAGTCATCCAACGCTTGGAGTGCAAAGATCTTTGAGAGCCGCATAGCACAAAAGAAAGATTTGGTTGGAAATGTCGAGTCTTGTTAATGGGAGCGCCATGCATTTCGTAGTCTACATAACAGTTGCCAATGCACCTTAGATGCGCGTTGTCAAGCGGGCTCAGCCAAGAATCGCCAGCACCACTACGATATCAAAGAAGCTTCCCAGATTGGCGGACGACTTATTGCAAAATTGAAGTCATGGATGGACGTTGCCGAAGTGGCAACGTTCAGGCCGGGGATAGTATGTTCGTAGAAAGTCCAGTCAGTATGATATGGACTTGATGTATCTCTGAACTGGTACTGGAATGGGGAAGCGATTCCGGTAGCGTGTGATACTGGCTCGTTTAGGGTTTGTTGGGATGCGCCTAAGAAATCAGACAAACACCAGGGTGTCTGCGCGATTGGAATGTCGGTTGTGACGTGTGGAGTAGCCCAAGTTTGTGGTAGAACATCATTGACATTGAAGTCGAACCCACATTCGATGGGCATCAATACTTCGTCGGACCATAATCGTGGATACAAGCAGAGATCTGTCTCGTGCACCACGGATACGGGCTGATAAGGATGTATCGGGCTTGGTGTCTGCGGTGACATAGTGCCCAGGTTAAAATAGCTGTTCGCACCCGCAGACTGAGTAAAGAAATCCGGATCCTGTTCAGAAGTATCTATATAAGTGTAACTGCCGTTGAGGGTTTGCGAATCTCTTGGTGAAAGCGGAGTGAGCATTGGATAGCCAGAGAGCCCCGAGTTTTGATGGCTGGCTTTCGCGGTGGCTTCGGTATCAATGTATGTTGCGGCGTATGAGCCTCGAGAGTCTTGAGAATGCAAGCTCGTCGAGGGAATATATGAATCGAGGCGTGATATGACACTGGCCGAGAATTGCCTTTTCGGTGGTCTAGATGGTTTCTTGATGCTTGATCGGTGGTTGCTATCTGAAGTACGGCGAGTGGATCTTGGTTCGCATACGATACCCTTGGTGATGCACCGAGAGCACGAAGGTAGCTATGTAGTGTAAGCGCAGGAACTTGGACTATACAAGATGTGCCTTGGTACATACAGCTTTGTTACACTTGGTCTTTGCCTTAGCGCATGTCACGCACGCGATTGCTCTTTTCGATGGCATTCTAGCATATGGGTTGTGCTGAACTGCTTGCGTAGTAAAGCGATCCGACAGGTCTCGTGGAGTATGAATGGTCGTCTCATCCATTGCGATCGGATGTTTGGCTTAACAAGTGATACGAATCAATGCGTGTTGTTCCAAGCTGGCTGTAGAACCACCGTGTCTTGAGAGTCGACTGCAGTCAGGCAATGACCGTTGCATCAGATAATGTCGAGCTTCTCTGGACAAAAGCGTGTGCTTGCTCGAAGTGGTAGGGGCTGAGCTGTGATATACTCGTCCATACTGAGCAGACTTGAGCTTGACCAGAACCGACAATTCCGTCCAACGGCTGATCATATACGGCATCAAGCTTGCATGATGCTAAGTTTAGGGCCGAGATACATGTCTTCCGTGTAGAGTCCTACATAGCAAGGTATCGTCCTAGCACCGATGAGGCGCCCTCGCAGGGCTGGAAGCCAAGTCAAGGCATCGTGTATGAGCTGACGAAATGCTGCTGAGGATAGTTAGCATGGTACGCCACCATGCCCGTATGCTGAATGCACGTTCATGGTAGAAGGCGCCTGAGCGCGTGGATGATGACAAGGGGTGTCCTGCGCGCTGACAGGACCCGCGCTGGTGGAATTCGGTATGTCCATGATGACAGGTCGCACACGAATCGTGGTGTGGCTGAAGCCTCACCAGTGCCATTGCTTGGCTGATTGCGTACCTCAGTTCAAGCGACATGCAAGTGCGACTTGACGTCTTAAGGTTTCAAGTAGATTTGGCTCGCAGAGAAGAGCTCAAGGTGTCAACAAAAGAGGTTTCTGTATACCGTTGAATGCTTTCGGTAGGGTATCAAGGATTTCGTTAATGACATGATCATCCAGGTACCACGCGGTCTTGACGTGGTCTGCACCCAGAGGGTGGTTCCAGACCGGGGCCGGGTCACCGGTGATGAGGCGCTGTAGTGCCTGGCACAACGCTATTGTTGTAGATTCATGCTGATGATGTGGACGGACTATGGGGAGTGGCGTCTGGTGGTGAAGTTAGACAGTGGGAACCCCTGTTCCGCAGCTGCCCAGGTGGAGGAGCGGGGCCATGGCGGGCTGACGATGCTTAGTGTCGAAAGCTTCCGCAAGCTACGCTCTTGGGTGAAAGGGCGATATCGGCGACGATGCATGTGTTACGGGACGTGGGTGCTTCATCCCACAGATGATGGCGGCGGCCGAGAGGTTGCAGGTGGTGGGCATTGCGCCAAACGTCATTTCCGAACAGCGCACGGTCCGCCGCCATCTATGGCCTTAACCTTGGAAATCTCCCTCGCCAAGCAGGCAAGAGCCATCGGGCAACAACTTGTCCATACATCCTCTCAGTTGCTAGATTCACGATCGTATCTCATCCAGATCTACATCGTCGTGAGGGCTCGTAAAGCATCATGAAGTCAATTTGCGTGGTGCCTGCTGGAGGTCACGAGCTCAAGCTCATGTCCGACTGACTTGTACTTAGGCATAGACCCTTCCTTGAAACAAAGCATTCCCAGAATCGCACATCGAGCACTCCACATCTGCGGCTTTGGTGGCCAGTGCCTCTCCCTCGCTCCATCTTTAGCAAGGCATCGTCAGCGTTGCTATGCGTAAAGATAGATAGATACGGAACGATCGACATCCGACAATCTATCCACGGCCTGTATACGACCATGAAGTATAGCTACGGATATAGATGTGTTGATAGTAACAACCACCACGAACCACAATTTGACGCAGGTCCGAAACGTAGGCCGAGGTTGACTAACGTGGGGCCGTTGTGCGTAAGCAGAGCTTGTGTTTGAGACCTGCTTCGCTAGGGGCATCGACCTCAATTGGAGTTATAATGAAACGACGAAGCTTGAAATGCGTGCGTCGTGCTAAGGTCTTCTATTGGGAAGCCTCATCAAACCATCCATCAATCTTCGTGGGCTGTAGTTGCTATCACGTATCAACTGATAAATCCGAAAGCGAGAATCGAGGAGCCGAGAGGGGAACCTCATACATCATGAGGGAAGAACTGTACATGCAAATTGTTATAAATAAAGGTTGAAACCGTGGTAGGCATGCATATCTGCGTATCAGTGATCCGTGGGGAAAGAGACGCGGGAGGCATGAGCTAGTCCCTCTATGGCCTAGTGCGTCCGCCATATCTGCATCGCACTTGCCGCTGCATCGCGCACGTCATCCGGAATTCTCGATCTGAACCATTTTCGACAGTCGCATTGACTGCATCATTATCTATATCACCACACTCATTTTTGGATACCCTAGAGAAAGTTAGAAATATGGCGCAACGTGAAGACACCGAACTGTACCCTGCGAAGTTTCTTGCGGAAAGCGCCCATCCGGAGAAGACACCAAACCCTCCCGATCTTCTCATTTTGAATCAACCAATAGCCCACTTCACTGCCTTCTCACGCCTTTGGAAGCACACTGGGCACCGCATATGTGCCGATGGCGGGGCGAATAGACTTTACGACATGCTGAAAGGTGACTTGATAGCGCAACGCGAACAATACGTGAGTAAGTATGTGATATATAGCGTCAACACAGGTCGCTGACAGGCGTAGCTACCCGATATGATCCATGGAGACTTGGACTCGTTACGCGATGATGTGCGTGACTACTACGAAGCACGAGGTGTCCCTGTGCTACGCGATGGTGACCAATACAGCACAGACTTTGGGAAATGCATGAAGAAAATCTCGTCGCGTCTTACTTCCTCAATGGTTCGGGATGTGATCGTCCTTGGTACCCTCGGTGGGAGGGTTGATCAGGGCCTTGGGCTCCTGAACGAGATATACAGAGAAGAGAATCGACATGCCGACCTTCGCCTATGGCTGTTCTCGGAGTGCAGCCTGAGCTTCATACTTCGGAGTAAGGAGACTCTGCTGAGAGGGCTACAAGAAGATGGCGTCTTTACCGAGAACGTAGGGTTTCTTCCTATATATGGACCGGCGATCATCTCTACCGAAGGTCTGGAATGGGATGTCAAGGAGTGGCCTACGGAGATGAACGGCGGTCAGCTCAGTACGAGCAACCACGTCAAAGCCAACGATGTGAGGATTGGAACGGACGTGCCGATATTGTTCACGATAGAAAGAGCGCCTTTGTGAGAGGTCAGGGAAGTGTCGTGCTAGATATGGACTTGACATACTCGCGACTTATGGGAATTGACACGTAAAGGTATCCTCGTGCTACATGTTCCAGCACGCTGTTGTTGTGTAACGTCCATTGGTCTCGCCGATTCTGTCTGCATGGGAGACAGTGGATCAGGGCCATCATGAGGTAAGCGCGTGCGTCGTTGAGCCCATCGTGCTTTCCGCGGTTCGAGCAATCGGAAGAAGGTGCGGCCTGCGAGGCGACAACATCACATACATCATGAAGGCGGGAGACGACTCCGGCCACAGTGGTGAGGGTACCTGTCGAGTCGTGTTGTGCCAGTAACCGTTCGGCTGTGGTGAAAGCATGAGGAGAGTCCGAAGCGCGACGCAGCACAGGCGCAGGTGCAGGCAACCGCTCCTGCCCATCGCCGGAACCGCTCCTGTTGTTTGGTGAACCCCAATTGGGAAGCTGTGATTGGCCGCGTCGTGGGCAACTCGCCTTCACCATCAATGCTACTATCAGACCAGTTCTCCCGCTCAAACAATCACCGCGCTTGCCAGGCCAACATCGCTACTCACTGTCGCTACTACGCGCCTTTTGGAAGTTTATTCACTCGCATACGCAGCTCTTGTCTTCTGCGAGCCTCCCCGCTTTCTGTGTTGCTCACATACAGGTGCCATATCCACCCCGACCCTCCCACGTCCCACCGCGTCAAAGCTCTCCGACCAGCACCTTGCCTCGCGACGTCAGGCACAACACGTTCGCAGACCCTCGTCTCCCGCTACCTCCCACTGTCTCTTTTCAAACTCAAGATATATCTGAGCATTCTGTCGACAAAGCTACTACACACAGCATCACAATTGGCGTGAGCTGCACGACATAGCGCGCGCTGTGGGGCAAAACGCCGGCGCGAACGCCAATCGGTCGCTAATCGCCATGGCGTCCATACGAAGAGTCGCCTCGTCCACGTCGTCCGAGTACTCGGAATCACCTCAAAAGCGAGACGAGCAGCTCAGGCGATCGTCGTCGTCGAGTTCAACTGTCGAGAGGGAAGCTGCGTCTCCCCGCGACACCAGCACAGAAGGAGCATCCGAGCCAGCAGGGGCAGCCGAAGAGCCGCTGATTGGCCAGCCGAGCGGCAGTCAGAGCCCAACTTCTGATCATGGCTTCGACTTCGGCATCCCGCCAACGGCAGAGCGCGAATCTTCGCCGTTGCCCTTTGCGCCCATCGTCCCTTCGCCGCTCGCAAACTCAAGATCAGCGAGCGATGGAAGCTCAGACGGGCACGAGCCGCAGTCGAGCGATGATACCCAGTCGACAAAGCATCGGCCGCGCACCACGACAGGCCGTCTTCACTTGCGCATCCCGCCCCGGCCTCACTTGAGGACACCAAAAGCGAGGAGTACAACAGACTTGACAGGTCATGGAGCCCGCTCTCCGGGCACTCCGCTCACATTACAAGACTTGGGAACCGACTATACTCGCTACTTCAACCCTTTCTCAGATTCCGCCAGTAGCCATAGCCGCAGTCGGAGGACCTCCTTATCAGAACGGCAGTCTTATGCCAGACTGAACGCCCGCTCGCGCACAACCACTCCGCCGCCTGGCATACCACCAATCAACCCGTTCCTTACCCCCAATGCGTCTGTGACGGGCCTCAACGATAGCGTCATTGAGCTGTACGATGACAAGAAGAATGTGTCTTTCATCGACGACAGATTAACGGCACCGTACGAGGAGAAAGGAATACTGTCCTGGCCACTGGTTTGCGACTTAGAGGAAGCGGACGATGAAATGCACATGCCTCGCGACGACGATGACATCAAGTTCAAACCGAGGATACGCGATCACTTTACAAGAGACAGCATCGTTTCCACTATTGGCCTAGCTTTCATGATATCAGGACTGTTATTCATTTTCATCGGCCTTCCAGTACTTTCTGCGGTAGGCGTCATCGACTACAACTCAGCCTACGGTATGCCATTGAGCATGTTTCCCAATCCCTGGAGGCCTCAGATCTGGGCTATAGTCAACAACAAACAGTATCCACTCCTGGAGAACATACGGACAGGCTTGATCGATCCCGACACACCTGACGCTGTCAAGACAAGGGCCGGAGAGTTTGGCGATGAGTATGTGCTCGTCTTCAGCGATGAGTTTAATGACAATGGCCGCACGTTCTATGAAGGAGACGACCCTTACTTCTTTGCACCCAACGTCTGGTATGGCGCGACTCAGGACGTTGAATGGTATGATCCAGATGCTGTCACTACCAAAGATGGCACGCTTCAGCTGCGCCTGGAAGAATTCTTCAACCATGGTCTCAAGTTCCGATCCGGTATGCTGAACAGTTGGAACCAGCTGTGCTTCAAAGGCGGTATCTTCGAAGTTTCAGTGTCGCTACCAGGACCAGCCGGTGTACAGGGACTCTGGCCTGGAGCCTGGACAATGGGCAATCTCGGCCGCCCAGGCTATCTCAGTACAACCGACGGGCTGTGGCCCTACACCTACCAAGCTTGCGATGCTGGTATCACGCCTAATCAGTCTAGTCCTGACGGATTATCTCACCTACCTGGACAACGACTCAACTCATGCACCTGCCCGGGTGAAGACCACCCATCGCCAGGTAGAGGAAGGGGAGCACCAGAAATTGACGTCATCGAGGTGGGTGCCACATCAGGTTACCCAGGTCCAGCAGGTCTGCCAATAGCAACACAGAGCTTCCAGGTTGCCCCCTTCGACATCTGGTACCATCCGAATTACAACTTCACGGCGTTCCCAGACCTTCGTTACAGTGGGCTCAACACCTACGCCGGCGGTGCCTTCCAAGAGGCCATCTCTGCCAGCACAATACTAAACAGGGACTGGTTCGACAACAAGCAGTATCAGCGGTACTCTTTCGAATATGCTCCCGGAGAAGGCAAGGACGCATACATCTCCTGGAAGGTTGGTGACCAGACCATGTTCATCATGGACGGCCGTTCTGTAGGACCCAACGGCAACATCCAAGCTCGACAAATCGCAGAAGAGCCCCTGTCACTCATTCTCAACCTTGGCATCAGTAACTCCTGGACCTGGATCGACTGGAAGAACCTGGTCTTTCCTGCCACCATGCGATTCGACTACGTGCGGTGGTATCAGAAGAAAGGCGAGGAGATGGTTACGTGCGATCCCCCGGGCTTCGAGACTACAGAATACATCAAGAAGCATCCGAAGGCTTACCAGAACCCGAACTATACAGTACATAATCCTGTCTTGCTTATCATACAAGCACACAACTAACGCAAAGCAGTTATGGGATCAAACCGGTTATGACTGGCCGAAGCACAAGCTCAACAGCGATTGCTGACCCGAGACGCCCTCTCACGACAGCGAGTACGATCACGATCACGATTACGATTGACGAGTCACCACGAGCGCGAACGTCCCCAAAAGATCGCTCCGAGCCTCTTCCTCTACGTACATTGCAGCTACACGACCGACTACGATCGTTTACGGAACATGGCACTCGAGCTGTACATTTACATTTCAGGAAACAAACATGTCGCTATTGTACAGATACACACATGAAGGGAAAGCGTTTCGGTGAAGACACACAAACACACATAGGAAGGAAAGCATTTCGGGCAAGGGCATGAGAGCGGGAGGAAGGGTCTTGACCATGTTTAAGCTACATGTGTCGTCTCCTTGCATATGGGGAAGGTTATATCGATTTTCGAGCGGCATCATGGCATTTTTGCATTTGTTGGTGTATATGTATAAGTAGCATAGCGTAGCTGTAACTTTGGACGAGAACTTGCATGGTTTCAGTTTTGTGTGAATTTGTCATGTAGTACGTCGGGCATGTGCCACTGACCAGCTAGAGGATACATGAGATGATGCCTGTACACAAAACCTTGCTTAACCATCGCTACGTGCAAGACTATTCTGCGAGAGGCTTCAATCTTGGTGTTGGAGAGGCGGTGCGTTCTGTTCTGTAATGCATTCGCTAAGTATATATACCACTACAAAACACTCCACCTCACCACTACCCTCCTACTCCTCCCCCTCCATACAACTAGCATCCTTACAATCCTTCACATCACAAACCTTGTGAAAGTCCTTATGCGCCTTGGCCCCCTTCCCAATAAGTTTCTTAAACGACTTAAACTCACAGCTCGCGCCCGGCCCATCCTGGCAATCCGGAATGGGTCTCGGCGCCGAATTCGCAATGAACCTAACATACGTGCCAGGCTCATCGCCATGCACACCGCCCCTCTCACAAATCATCTTCTCCATACCGACATGACCCAGGAAAGGGATGAGATCGCTCATCTTCCACGCGCGCGTCCAGTTAATGTGGTCAGTGGGGAACTGCTCCGCGGCGTCGGAAGACGAGTTGAAAAGACCAAGTGCGGTAGCGATAAAAGGCGGGACTTCCCTATGCGTGAAACCAAGGAAGAAACGCTGTTTATCCGGCCAGCCGTCACCGGGCGTATCATGCTTCTCGATATGCGCAAAGAGCTCAGACTGTGCTTGCAACCACGGGAAACCGAGATACGGACTCAGCGGGTTCAGCGGACCGACCATGTACGCGTATTTCAGATCCCACGCGTATTCATACGCCATCCACTCCGAGTCTGTGAAGAGCGCGCAGATGGGGCTGCGCTCGCCCTTGATGGCGGATTCGTAGCCGCACAGCATCTGGAAGCCAACAACATCACTAGGAGTCAATTTGAAGGGCGTGTAGGGGGAGAGGCGGTGGGCGACGGAGGCGCCGTAGAGGTCGATGACTTTCTTTTGTTGGCTTGAACCGGGTTTCTTGGAGAAGTTTTTGCAGGATTTGTGGGGGATGAGGGATTCCATGCTGCCGTTTGTGTTTTCGGTTATGCGGACGATGTCGATGTCGGAGGCTTGGGGGAAGGCTTTGACGAAGTTGGCGGCGGTGTCGTAGGTTCTGCTCTTTTTGTCCGCGAGGATGCGCGTTGTGTCGGGGACGAGGTGGTGGTAGCGTTGTAGGAGGTGCTTGCCT